TTGCGAGGAACCTTCTGGTGGAATAACATGAAAAGGGAAATAGCCATATTTTGTGGCTCAGTGTTTGACATGCCAATAGGTTAAGATTGAGCATCAAAGACCAGCTGGCAAGTTGCAGCCACTTCCTATTCCAGAGTGGAAGTGGGAACATATAACCATGGACTTTGTCACTGGTTTGCCTGCAACAAAAAATGGAAATGATTCTATTTGGGTCATTGTTGATAGGTTAACCAAGTCTGCCCATTTTCTTCCCTATAAAACAAGAATGCAAATAGAGGGATTTGCAAAGTTATACTTAAAAGAGATTGTGAGGTTGCATGGGATACCGGTGTCTATTGTTTCAGATAGAGATTCTCGTTTTGTTTCTCATTTCTAGGGCAGCGTACACAATGCTTTAGGAACAACTCTTAATTTTAGCACCGCTTATCATCCACAAACAGATGGACAGTCTAAAAGAACCATTCAGACTTTGGAAGACATGTTGAGAGCATGCGTAATTGATATGAAAAATTATTGGGATCACCATTTACCTCTCCTAGAATTTGCTTATAATAATAGTTACCATGCAAGTATTAAGATGGCTCCATATGAGGCTTTGTATGGGAGGAGGTGCAGGTCTCCAATATGTTGGACAGATGTTGGGGAAAGGAGTTTGTTGGGCCCAGAGTTGATCCAGCAAGCTACAAAGAAAGTTCATCTTATACGAGAGCATCTTCGTGTTGCACAAAGTAGGCAAAAGAGTTATGCAGATAATCGAAGGCGTGATTTAGAATTTGCTGTGGGAGAGAAGGTATTTTTGAAGGTGTCACCTACTAAAGGTGTTGTGAGGTTCGGTATTCGAGGGAAGCTTAGCCTTCGCTTTATTGGTCCCTTTGAGATTTTAGAAAGGGTTGGAGAAGTGGCTTATAGGTTGGCATTGCCGCCAAATTTATCGGAGGTGCATAATGTTTTTCATGTATCAATGCTAAGGAAGTATGTTCCAGACCTTAGTCATGTGATTGAGCATGTTCCAATCCAATTGAGAGAAGACCTCTCCTATGAAGAACAACCAATTCGTATTGTTGACCGAAAGGAGCAAGTGTTGAGAAGACGTGTTATACCCTATGTTAAGATTCAATGGAGTAATCATACAGAGCAGAAGGCAACATGGGAGTTGGAGGAAGATGCTAGGAAAAAATACCCGCAACTTTTTGATGAACAAGGTATGAGTTTAGGGACTAAACTCTTTTAAGAGGGGAAGAATGTAAGACCTAGAATTTTATTATTGTTATTATTATTTAATTCCTTAAGGATGTGTATGCAATAAGGTGGAAATATGAGGACTTATGTGTATAATGGTGGTAAAGATGAAGGAGTGGCTTGTAAAATGTGCAAAACTTAACCTAGAAATTGAAGATTAGC